CTGTACATACGCAAACTAGTCCCTCAGTGTTTAGATATCGATCTCAAATTTGCACACCTATTTTTCTTCCCAAGATGCTGCTAATTTTTCGAAAAGATACACCTGAGATACAAAGTGATCGATCAAAATTAAGTTCCTGTAAGTAGGTATSTAATTTTGATACTTCTTCTCGTGTAAATAAAATACAATACCTGGTTGTTTAATAAGTTTTGTCGTTTGATAAGTAAAACACATTTGTCCGAACGATCCTAAAATCTGTGGATCCCATTCCTGAAGTACCATAGTATTCGAAAAAAAAACCTTTATCCAGGTCTTTAAAAATTGTATCTCAAAGACCTCTCTAAAATTTTATGAAGATCGATTGAGTAGTTCTCGAGAAATCTTTCCATCTGTATTAATGCAATGGAAACATAAATTAAATTAATTCAGGGCCTCTACAATGAGATATTCTTTGCTTCGATTCCATAAAAAATTTATAACTATATTTTATGATATAATATAAAAAGGCTAAGCATATACGCATAATTATATCACAACGTTAAACTTTTCTTCTCTCACAGGAAAGTAACTGATTGGGGGAAAAACACCTTTTTAAATAATAAAATAATGTTATTTTAAATAAAATGCACCATCTTACGATAAGTTCCCTGCAGATTCAATTTTAGTTCACAGAATCCTACAATTGAATGTTAAAAGCTTCTATATTTTTGCACACTCAGTCACAATATGTCAATTTAAAATTGTGTCTTCTCCAAGCAAAGCAAAATAAAATATAAATTAAAAACTTTTAACCAAAAAACTTACACTTATATAAATACGTAACTGTATACAGTATTGCATACGAAAATACGGCAAGGGCAGACAAGCAATTGGTTACATAATAMAAAATATAGCAAAATATTCGAGTATGTGTGCAGCAAATATATATATACCACACTGTGCAACAGAAATCTCAACCTAGCCACCTTCTCTACCAAAAACACAAACAAAAACAAAATATAAAAGCATTGAAATTTAAATGTATTTATGTGCTATATTATATAGTATTTGACAGGCTTTCCAAATAAAAAGTAAAACTTAAAATTAATAAACCATATATATATATACATATATACGTATATACCATGACACACATACACGTATACATGTATAAATACAGCCGATATATTAACTGATGAAATCAAATATTAAAACCAATTACTTTACAATGTCACTCATACATACTAGTACATATATGAATAGTTTTTAAAAGCAAAATGCAAACAAATCGAATACCGATATACACGCGCAAGTGCAAATGTCACCGAAACGTCAACAACTCAGAATTGACAGCTCAAGTAAATGTCAGAACACAACTCATCAACTTAACCATATCAATCGAATAGAAACGAAAAACAAAATTTAAATACAAATACAAATACAAAAAACAAAAACAAAAACAGAAACAAAAACAAAAAAGCAAAACCTTATTAATTACAAACTTACATAATAACAGACTCAATGCAATGGCGAAAAGAGTAAATAAAAAGAAAATATTTTCATGCGTGCATACAACTACATACATAGTTACACAGCTAATCATAAATACTATCTATACACACCAGTAAATAATACCGTCATATGCAATATACAAAATTATGCATACACATAGATATACATACATATATTATATTAAAAACCAAAATTATATATATAACTTATATAATATACTCCTGCATATGTATGTATGTATGTATAATTGATGCGAAAAAATCCATAAAAGCAGCAAGGCGAAATTGTATACGCAAAGTAGAATATACATACAAGCATTTACAAAACATAAATAAATAATATTTTGACATATTTTTGTAATATAATTTAATTACCCCGCGAATAAAAACCACTATTTTTTAAAGAATTGAATTACCCTATGCAAAAAAAAAATATTTTTTAAAGTACGTAATTAAAGATTTTGAAATAAGCAGAATCTAAAATTTTGGTAATCCACAGCGCAAGTAAGTAAAATTCAAAGGAATTAAAAAAAAACAAAAATCAAATTTAATTATTTTTTTGTTGGCTTCTGATCTTGAGAATGTAATAATAAATAAACGGCATAAAATAAATAAGAAAGAACATAAATAATGACGCCTATTACGTTTGCGATAAATAATTCAAATTTTTTTATATACATAATCTTTAATTATCACATAAATAGACAAAATAAAAAAAAATCGACAAATTCGACAAAATCGACAAAAATAGTTAAATTCAAGTTTTTCACATTTAGCGAATTCAAATATTTTTGACGTTATTTTTAAGTACCAATATTCGGCAAAAACAATAAAATAATTTTTCAGTTTTTTCTTTTTTTATTTCAAACATATTTTGGATTATGTTTGTTTTTTTATTCGACAAAAGTTTAGAAATGGAAAAATTCCTTTTTTCTATTAAAAAAAAATTATTTTTTGTAAAATTGCACTGTTTGAAAGAAAAACTAAGAATTTTCAGTTTTTAAAGAATCCAAATATTTCTTAAAAAAAAAAGTTTTTAAAAAATCAAAACATTATAGGTTACATTTAAAGGCGAAATTTTACCGTTAAAAAAAAAATTCACAATTTTTTCAGGTTATGTTTAAGTAATAATATTCGACAATAATAATAAAACTCAAGTATTTTCAGTTAACCAAATATATAAATATACATTGTGATAAAAAGGCATCTGGAAATTGTAATTAAATTTTTCGGGTAAATGATATTTCCAAAAAATTTATTTTGCTTAGTTGGTCGAACTGTCCTTAATTAATTATGCTAGGTATGAACGCGATCTGTCAACCAGTTCGTTTACAGTAGCTACTTAATGGATTCCTCAGTAGTGCGTTGTGACTTTAAAAACATCAAAMAAATAATTTATCCCAAAATTTTGTACTTCTACCCATATTTCGTGTGCGGAGTCGTTGCGATGGTTGGAAAAGGTGTTTCAGTTTATAAAAAAACACAAGTCTACGAGTGGTACAAACCCTTTTAAGACGATGAAGAGATCGTTGAAGATATGCCTCGTTCTGGACGACTTTCGACCTCTTCAACTGATAAAGAAAATTAAAATGTGAAGAATATGGTCCTTGCAATGAGGAGAGCTCGTCAGGTACTCATTGTTTTTTTTTTTCGATATTCATGGTTTGGTGAATTTTAGAACAGACGGCCAATACGGAGTTCTATTTGGCCGTATGGCGTTCCGTCAAAAACGGCCGGAATTGTGGAAGAGCAAWTCATGGATCGTACCCGATGATAATGCACCATCGCATCAAGCCACCACTAGAACCAAATTTAAAGCCAAAAACGAAATGAAAACCATCGATAAACCAACGTATTCACCAAATTTGCTTCATGCAATTTTTTGTTGGYCTTCAAACAGAAATTGCCACTTCGTGGAACTTGTTTTCTGTCAGTCGGAGAGATAAAAAAAAAATTCGGTCATCCCAAAAAGTGCTTATGAAAAGTGTTTCGAGGACCGGGAAAATCATTGCGCTAAAAGTGTTACTACTGGTGGGGGTTACTTTGAAGGTGACAAAATAAATATTGATGAATAATTAAATTTTTGGTGTTTTATTTACAACTTTCGGGTACATTTTTGTCACAATGAAAGTCAGAGATTATCTATTTTAAATCGACAAAACTAATAGAAGTTAAAATTTACCAGTTTTTTTTTTTAATTCCAAATATTTCTTTTAACTAGGTCTACAATTAAAAAATAAATGTTAAAATATTTTAGTTTAATTCAAAATCAGAATTAAAAGCATTATTCTTAAGCATCTCAATAACATTCACACAACGCTTATCTATAGCAGTATATTAATGGTAATTTATGCAGCTCACTCATACACACACACACACTTACAGCAGATCCATCAAATTATTTGCATACATGAGTGAGAACGGTAATCCATTAATATTCTTAATTATTTAGCCAATATACTCAATCATCCGCTTAATATAATGCAAAAGCAACAGCATATACAGTAACAACAACAACAACAACAACAAAATCACAAACACTACGTC